CCCCAAAACCCCAAAACCCCAAAACCCCAAAACCCCTTTCTTATTTCAAAATTTGAAATTAGTTCTACTGCTAGAGTTTATTTCCTGACAAGACTCTGGGGCTTCTTCCTAACAGGACTTCTCTTAGTGGCTGGTATGTCATCCTCCGGTAGCATGAGAGCTAGCATTTTTCTGAAATCAGGTAAGTAGTCTTGCTCATTCAGGATTTTAATGTCCTCGCCAAGATTTCCTAGGATTGTATTTACAATAGAATTTTCATCTAGAGGGTCCATCTGGTCAGCATTTTGGAAAAGACTGTTCCTCATATCTGGAGGCAGCATTAAAGAATTATTTAGAGTTGTTCGTCTTCTATCCCTGGTTACTACAGAATGAGCCTTCTTTTTCTGTAGGTCTAATGTCAATCTTTCTGGAATATTAAAATTCTCCATGAAGTTTTTGCTAGATATTGTCTTCAATGACAACAGATCTTTATTAAGATTCTTCTGTGTTTGTCTGATACTTCCAAGGTAGCTCTTTACTTTCTTTGAAGGCTGTGTTAGCTTCTCAACTGCTTCTTCAAGATATAAATCTATCATATCAATCTCATGTAATGAATTCTTTTCTTTCTTAACTTGTACTAAATTATACACAAATTTTGCTAAAATGCCTTTGACTTTATTTTGAGAGCAAGAGTCAAAGAACTGCTTCCTCTTGTCTTTCAAAGCGGACGAAAACTCTCTGACATATTTTCTGACCCGCTGGTCCATATCTACAGTTTCATCTAGATGTATCTTTGCCAAAACAGTTTTCTTCAGCTTCTTTTGATGCTTAGGATGGTTATACAAGAAGGCAATAGTCTCTCTGACCTTCTTCCAGTAGTACTTTAGAATAAATACTTTATGCAGTCTCTCTTCAACCACTGCTTTTGTATGCTCTTGGATCGAAATCACAGCTAAGTTGTATTTTATCATTTTTGATTTAAGCTCATGCCTCCATGCTTTATTTCCTCAGGAAGTCATAAAATGACCACAAAACGGTTCCTGAAAAGTCAGGTTTGTGAACGATTGAATTGAACTTGTATTTAAAAGAATGTCGAATATGCATAACTTGTCGGTAAAACATAATCTCTCCTTTCTTTATCATATATCGTTTCCAGTGAATACCAATCCTTCTGGCTGCTATATGTTTTCTATTTTTGTGGATCCATTGGTCCCTTGCTTCAACAAATCTGGACCACATCTCTGTAAAGCATGAATTAAGGCACATCGATCTGACCCAGAATTTATTTCTGTATTGCTGCTGGAGGATCTTATTTCTGCTCATTTTTATAACTTAGCCTGAAGATCATGCTTGATTTCCTTCTTGAAGACAGTGAACAGCTTTAACTTCCACTCTTGCTCCTTTTTCTGAAGAACATCTTTCCTTCTTTGTTCGTAAGCTATGTGTTATGAATAAAATTTACATTGGTTGGAGATTTTATACTCTAAAGTTCTGTTCTTTCTAAGTCTTTCTACCCTACTTCTGCGTATATCCTTGCATTTTTCCATGAAATCTTTTCTTCTTTTAGGATGATCCATTAAGTCATTTATAAACGCTCTGTGCCTCTGCTCCATTGTAATGTTAAGTGGTTTAAACATAAGACCTCCTAAGGCATTAGAATCCTCTCGAGACTCATCTCTTGACTTAAAGTACACTTCAAGATCGATAGAAGAGACACTGAGAGAGTGTAATGTAATGTACACATTTTCGATATCAAGTTCGCAATGCTTCTTGCATTTCTTTGGGTAAAACAATAGTTTTGATTTATGTTCACTAAAAACAACCTCTGCATTGCCATATTTAGGTTTATAATGCTCACTGGAGATATAGATCCGAATCTTCCCCTTGCAATGTTTCTTGTGGATTACCAGAGGAGGTTTATATCCAAAGGTATAAATCCTGAAATAAAGCTGCTCCTCCTCGATCATTTCTACATGGGTAGTTCCATGTAGTAGATCCATAGGATTGAGCACCTATAGCTGAATGAAAGAGATTTACCTCGTTTGGCTGCAGAACATACCTCATTTTTGTGTTCAAAATCTAAAAATTAGGAAGGAGACTTACCTTGATTCGGTCATTCAGTCTTTCCGTCTGTAATGGCTGAGAAGGAGCTACCTTCTTCCCGTTCTTGTCTGTATATTTAACCACGCTTGGCTTGAAGTTCATTAGGATGCTATCATTCTTAAAACTTATCTTCTGAAGAGATTGGTTCATCTTCTCCATTGATCTACTTTGGCTCAAGGTCAGGTTTGTCTTCACAGAGCCTATGAAAGTTAAGACACAGATGTACTCTGGCGACTTCCTTCAAGGTTCCTTGATGACTTAATTCTGATATCTAAAGCTTCAATTTCTTTAAAGTACTATTTTGAACTTGAGTATACTCAAGATTTTGCTTCACAAGTATCTGGCTCGCCCTGATTTTGGCTCTGGAAGTTTTCATTCTCTAAGAAAGATAAGTTAATATTTTGAAATTGCGACCACATTTAAATTTTTGAATAGTATTTCTTAAAAAATCGCCATCTGAAAGAAGGATGGGTGTATTTCAGGAGTCCTACCTTGAGAGTTTTGTCCCGAATCGCCATTGATTTGTTATTAGCTTTCTAAATATTATTAGGAAAAGCATAATACAGGTTTCCTCTTTTTCATAATTTTATTTATAATCATTTGGGTTAATTGTCTTCTTCGGAAGAATATCTTCATTCTTTTCTCTGATCATATTTAGATCAACATTGCTACTGGAGAATGTGAGAAGCTGGCGAGATGTTTGAGTGTGCAAAGGTGGGCGAGGGGATATTTTACGATTCTTTTTAAGCTTTTTCATGTATAATTTTGGTATACTTGTGCTTTTCTATTGTGAGAGGAAGAGAAATACTTGAAGAATTGGCTTGATTAATTTCTCAGATTTTTTAACAGGACCTATTCAAACAGTAAAAGAATTACAATCAATAAAAACTTACTCTGCGGAATCACATCAAACAATTTCACTTCTCTCTCATCTCCAAAACTACTCACCCCCTTAATCTTAAACTGATTCATCTTCTTCTCAGAACTCCTCCTATCCCAAAATATAACTCCAACCCCACCCCTAGGTCCTAAATAGCCCAAATTTTGCTCAAAATTCATCTAAAACCTTCTAAACTCTCTCCTTCCTACCCTTTCATTAATCTCGGCGCCACAATATCACTCTCTTTCTTCACAGCCTTAACTTCACTCATGCCTCTTGGTCGAATAACTTGGCCAACATAGTCTTCTACTTGTTTTGAATACATCTTGAAATATTCAATATTAATAAAACTAAAAGGGGTTTTGGGGTTTTGGGGTTTTGGGGTTTTGGGG